TGGGGCTTCACCATACTGGCCAGGTGTGAGCCACCACACCTGACCACAAAAATGTTTTTAAAATGCTCATCACATTAGAGAAATGCAAAAAAATAAAAACTATTATGAGATACCATCTCACACTAGTCATAATGACTGTTATTAAAAAGTGAATAACAGCCAGGCGCAGTGGCTCACGCCTGTAATCCCAGCACTTTGGGAGGCCGAGGCGGGTGGATCACGAGGTCGAGAGATCGAGACCATCCTGGTCAACATGGTGAAACCCCGTCTCTACTAAAAATACAAAAAATCAGCTGGGCATGGTGGCGCGTGCCTGTAATCCCAGCTACTCAGGAGGCTGAGGCAGGAGAATTGCCTGAACCCAGGAGGCGGAGGTTGCGGTGAGCCGAGATCGCGCCATTGCACTCCAGCCTGGGTAACATGAGTGAAACTCTGTCTCAAAAAAAAAAAAAAAAAAAAGAAATAAAATAAACCTAATTGCCTATAAATGAAAGCCTAGATTAAAAAATTATGCTATGGTAGTGTGAACTGGCTTATGCTTATAATCTCAGCACTTTAGGAGATCAAGGCTGGTGGTTTCCCTTAGCTCAGAGGTTCAAGACCTAATGGGCAAAATGCAAAACCACATCTCTACAAAATAGTAATAATCATAATAATAAATAAAAATCAATAAAAATAAAAATTAGGCATGATGGTGTGTGCCTATAGTCCTAGTTACTTAAGGAGCTGAGGTAGGAGGACTCCTGGATCCCTGGAGGTTGAAGCTGAAGTGAGCCAAGATCATACCACTGCACTCCAGCCTGTGTGACAGAGGAAGACCCTGTTTCTAAAAAATAAAATGTTAAAAGTTTAATAAAAACAAAATATGGTACATAAAAATTGTGGAAGACTATGTGGCCATATAAAAACAACACAAAACCAAGGGCTATGGCTCATGCCTGTAATCCCAGCACTTTGGGAGGGTTACTTGAGGCCAGGAGTTCAAAACCAGCCTAGCCAACATGGTAAAAACCCATCTCTACTGAAAATACAAAAAATTAGCTGGGCATCATGGCAGGCACCTGTAATTGCATCTACTCAGGAGGCTGAGGCAGAAGAATCACTTAAACTCAGGAGGCAGAGGTTGCATTGAGCCAAGATCATGCCCCACTGCATTCCAGCCTGGGTGACAGTAAGAATTCATCTCAAAAAACAATCAAACAAACAAACAAAAATCAAGATTAAGTCCTTTGTAGCAACATGGATGGAGCTGGAGATCATTATTCTTAGAAAACTAATGCAGAAATAGAAAACTAAATGCATGTCATCCTTTATAAGTAAGAGCTAAATAATAAAAACACATGGACACAAAGAGGGAACAGTCATAGAGGCCTAGTTGAGGATGACGGATAAAAGGACATAGAGAATCTGTCATCAGAGGTCCTTTCCTCTGAGTTTTCATTCTCTCTCACCCTGGGAAAAAACCTGGAGTCACAGGACAATGAACAGTGTGACAGCCTACGTATAGGAGGGCAGAGCCCCCCATTCGCAGACACCCATAGTTCCATTCCAGGACAGGCCTCTGTGATATCTTTCTTCTGGCATGAAATCTGTAGACTTTGCTGAACACCCAGCAACTCTCTAACGCCAACTCAATGTCTAACATTTGAATTCTGACACCACCTAGAGTCAGCACAGATGTGGTTCAGGGCTCAGCTCCACAACTTTGTCCTCACTGCACATGACAGTCACAAACCCCATAGGCCCATCTATGTGTCTGAGCTACTGTTTAAAAATTGGGGACCCACGAGCCCTTTCTCAAGTTCAATGATCTGATCAAGCTACTCACAGAACTCAGAAAAACACTGTAGTTAACAGTTTATTATAAAACATACAACCGAGGAAAAGTCAAAAGAACTGTATAAAATAGGCCAGGCGCGGTGGCTCAGGCCTGTAATCCCAGCACTTTGGGAGGCCGAGGCGGGTGGATCACGAGGTCAAGACATTGAGACCATCATAGTCAACATGGTGAAACCCCGTCTCTACTAAAAATACAAAAAATTAGCTGGGCATGGTGGCGCGTGCCTGTAATCCCAGCTACTCAGGAGGCTGAGGCAGGAGAATGCGGTGAACCGAGATCGTGCCACTGCACACTAGCCTGGGTAATAAGAGCGAAACCCCGTCTCAAAAAAAAAAAAAAACTCATGCCCTGGCTGGAAGTTTTCTTAAACACTTACTAATCTTTGAGATAACCTTTAGTTGGAACTCAGAGTTATGAATGGCCCTCACCATACCGATGAGTTCTGAATGGGCTCCTCTCTACTTCAAATAACAAAACACCCTGAAAGTTAAGCAAGAATATCATCACCCATATTCAGCATGAAGTAGTTACAGAAGATGAATCTACATCCCTCTACAACCGTTATGATTAAGGGGTTTATTTGTACAAAAGAAGGGGAAATTGTCAGAGGCATACTGAACCAGAGCAAATCCATTTTGAATAGGGGTTGGGGAAAATAGGGCTGAGACCTGCTGGGGTGCATTCCCAGATGGTTAGGCATTCTTTTTTTTTTTTTTTTTTTTTGAGATGGAGTTTCACTCATGTTACCCAGGCTGCTGGAGTGCAATGGCGCGATCTTGGCTTACCGCAACCTCCGCCTCCTGGGTTCAGGCAATTCTCCTGCCTCAGCCTCCTGCGTAGCTGGGATTACAGGCACGCACCACCATGCCCAGCTAATTTTTTTTTTTGTATTTTTAGTAGAGACGGGGTTTCACCATATTGGTCAGGCTGGTCTCAAACTCCTGACCTCGAGTGAGTCACCCACCTCAGCCTCCCAAAGTGCGGGGATTACAGATGTGAGCCACTGAGCCTGGCTCTGGAATTCAATTTTTTTTTTTTGTCTTTTTGAGACAGAGTCTCACTCTGTTGCCCAGGATGGAGTACAGTGGCACCGTGTTGGCTCACTGCAACCTCCGTCTCCCAAGTTCAAGTATTTCCCTTGTCAGCCTCCCGAATAGCTGTGATTACAGGCACAGACCACCAAGCCTGGCTAACTTTTGTATTTTTAGTAGAGATGGGGTTTTACCATATTGGTCAGGCTGTTCTCAAACTCCTGACCTCAGGTGATCTGCTCGCCTCGGCCTCCCAAAGTGCTGGGATTACAGGTGTGAGCCACCATGCCCGGGTCTGTAGTTCAATTTTTATTTTTTCAATGGATCAGAGCTCTCTCTATTGGCCAGGCTGGCCTCGAACATGTAGCCTCGCCTTCTTAAGCTCCACAACTACCCTGAACCACTGGCTCCCCAGAATTCAAAGGCTTTTACAGAAATGTAACTTTGTTACATATTACAAAGTCTAGAAACTGCCTTAAAGCAATAACAACTCCTTCATCAGTAAGACTCTCTTGTCTCCTTATGTCTTAACCAGAACTGCATCTGCCTGTAGCTTTCCAGGACTCTGTAGCTTCTCCCTGCAGAAGGGCTTCTTCCATGACTGGAGTGAGCAGGCTGGGACATTGCAGGGGAGGCTCTCCAGAAAAAACTAACTGGGCCTTCAATAACCTCCTTTTGAAGGCTCAATATGAACTTTAGCTCTGAGTCACTCGGCTCAAGCTTTAATTTTCATGTTAGAGTTACTCACTTGGTTTTTGAAACTAAGTGTTTGAAAAATTGAGCAAAATTACACAAACCCAGTGTTCATGTAAGGAAAGAAAATTTTAAGGTGCTTAACTTTTCTTTTTTTTTTTTTTTTTTTTTTTGAGATGGAGTCTTGCTCTGTCACCAGGCTAGAGCGTAGTGGCACAGTCTCGGCTCACCGCAACCTCCGTCTCCCGGATTCAAGCGATTCCCCTGCCTCAGCCTCCTGAGTAGCTGGGGACTATAGGCACGTGCCACCATGCCCAGCTAATTTTCTATATTTTAGTAGACAGGGTTTCACCATGGGCAGGATGGGGTGCTTAACATTTTATGCATTAACTAATAAGAAAAGCTGCCGGGCGTGGTGGCTCACACATGTAATCCAAGCACTTTGGAGGCCAAGGCGGGCGAATCACCTCATGTTGGGAGTTCAAGACTAGCCTGACCAATATGGTGAAACCCCATCCTTTTTTTAAAAAAATAAAAAAGAAAGAAAAAAAGAAAAGCAAAAGTATCTTTTTTTTTTTTTTTAGAAAATAAATGTATTATTTTATTAATTCCATTAAAAATCATGCAGCAATTAGTCATATGGAAACACTTCTAGGCAGTACCCAAGTTTTGTCTCATAAAATTTAGCATGAAACTCAGAAATCAAGATAACAGAATTTGAACAGAGATATTCACTGTCAAACATTTATCCTGAAAAAAAAAAAAAAAAGGAAACCGATTTTTTTTTTTTTTTTTAATAAAACAGGGTTTCACCATGTTGGTCTGGCTGGTCTTGAACTCCCGACCTCAGGTGATCCGCCCGCCTTGGCCTCCAAAGTGCTTCGATTATAGGCGTGAGCCACCACGCCCGGCCTAGAAGACAATCTTTTAATCTTTTTTTTTTTTTGAGACAGAGTCTCGCTCTTGTTACCCAGGCTGGAGTGCAATGGCGCGATCTCGGCTCACCGCAACCTCCGCCTCCTGGGTTCAGGCAATTCTCCTGCCTCAGCCTCCTGAGTAGCTGGGATTACAGGCACGAACCACCATGCCCAGCTAATTTTTGTATTTTTAGTAGAGACGGGGTTTCACCATGTTGACCAGGATGGTCTCAATCTCTTGACCTCGTGATCCACCCGCCTCGGCCTCCCAAAGTGCTGGGATTACAGGCATGAGCCACCGCGCCCGGCCAACAATCTTTTTTTTTTTTTGGAGATGGAGTTTTGCTCTTGCTGCCCAGGCTGGAGTTCAATGGCGCCATCTTGCCTCACCACAACCTTCACCTCCCAAGTTCAAGAGATTCTCCTTTCATTCTCATTTGGGTAGAATAAAAAAAAAAAAGAGAGATTCTCCTGCCTCAGCCTGCCGAGTAGCTAGAATTATAGGCATGTACCACCATGCCCAACTAATTTTTTTGTATTTTTAGTAGGGACAGGGTTTCTCACTGTTAGGCTAATCCCAAAGGCATTTTCAACATCTCAAGGGGTTACCTTTCAAAATAAGAGTGCGCCAGAAGATTGCTGTCAGCCCCAGGATATCCACTTGCTCCCTTTAGAGGATACATTCCATACCTCAGGTCATCCTATGGGAGAAAATAAACCAGAAGCTGACATCCACTAGACACTCTAGATGACATAACCACAACAGATATCTTGGTTTATCCCAAATAGTACTGAAACCCAGAACCAGGTAAAAACTAAAGGGTGGCTGATGACACATCACCCACCCTAAACATTTTCCAAAGCAGAACTTTTACCCAAAAACATTCCAATAAAATTTCAGTGCCCAGAGAAGATAAAAGGAAAAGAGACAGGGATTTTCTACGATACAGTGTCAGGGGATTATTATTTGCTTTCTTTTCACAGGAAATATTTACAAACAAATAACAAATCTTATTAAAAGCACCATTTAGGCCAGGCTCAGTGGCTCAGGCTTGTAATCTCAGCACTTTGTGAGGCTGAGGTGGGCGGATCATGAGGTCAGGAGTTCAAAACCAGCCTGGCCAACATAGTGAACTGCCATCTCTAATAAAATACAAAAAATTAGCCAGGTGTGGTGGCACCCACCTGTACTCCCAGCTACTCAGAAGGCTGAGGCAGGGGAATCACTTGAACCTGGGAGGCAAAGGTTGCAGTGAGCTGAGATCGTGCCACTGCTCTTTAGCCTGGCTACAGTGCAAAACTCCATCTCAAAAAAAAAGGGGCCATTTTTAATGCTTTGTCAACGAATTAGGGAGGAAGAACTGCCATTTGGGAACACTAGAAGAAACTTCAAATTTAGTATCTTACTAAGAGCCAGAGTGAGGCTGGAGAAATGGGGAAGGCTTAAAACTCTGCTTGGAGGCCAGCTTGGGGGCTCATGCCTGTAATTCCAGCACTTTAGGAGGCCGAGGCGGGTGGATCACAAGGTCATGAGTTCAAGACTAGCCTGGCCAAGATGGTAAAATCCGTCTCTAATAAAAATACAAAAATTAGCTGGGCATGGTAGTGGGCACCTGTAATCCCAGCTACTCGGGAGGCTGAGGCAGGAGAGTAGCTTGAACCTGAGAGGAAGAGGTTGCAGTGAGCCAACATTACATCACTGCACTGCAGCCTGGGCGACAGAGCAAGACTCCATCAAAAAAAAAAAAAAGACTTGCTTGGGACACAGGTGAAAAAAATGCAGCAAATTAGTTACCCGTGGAGTGTGAAAATAATTAAGTTGCAGACAATTAGAGTGAAGACTCTCTAGTCCCTGGGTTCCTACTTTAATTTAAAAAAAAAATCTAACTCAGGTACATTACATTATTTTTAATTAATCTATTCAGAAAAACAAAATTCAGGCTTCAGCAACTATAAACTGCCAATTTAGCTCTGATTACAAAACCAGGAAATTTTTACCTTTAATATACAAATTAAGATACTACATAACTCTACCTAATCAATTACTAAATTTGGTTTCCTTCATCATGCATTTTATAAAAGTGTCTGTCTTCCATGTGCATGCCTGACCCAGAAAGTCTGAAGTCCTGCCTGCATTGGCTGATCACCCCCCAAACCCCACATGCGTTAGCCATTTAATAGCCCAAAGGAGCTTCCCCTGGTTAAGAAGGCTCACCCAACCCTACCACCTTTACTGTTATTATGATAATGTGAATACTCCTCACCCCACCCTGCCATCTTAACTGTTCTTGCTCTGTGAATATCCCTCCCCCCAACCCTACCATCTTAACTACTCTTAGGCCTTACCCCACCCACCATTGTAACTGAATTTATGGTAATGTATATTCCTTGCCCCTACCCACCACCGTAACTGATCTTACTCCATAACACTCCTGCCCCTTTCCCAAAAGATTTACCCAAACCTATAAAACCAACTCTTATCTCGCCAACCTTTGCTGACGCCCTTTACGGCCTCAGCCCACCTGCACCCAGGTGAATAAACAGCATGTTGCTCAAACAAAGCCTGTTGGGGAGGGGGTCTCTTTATTCAAAGTACGTGTAATAACAAAAAGACTTTCCTTCGGACTGGCATGGTGGTTCACGCCTGTAATCTCAGCACTTTGGGAGGCCGAGGTGGGTGGTTCACGAGGTCAGGAGTTCCAAACCAGCCTGACCAAGACGGTGAAACCCTGTCTCTACCAAAAATACAAAAATTAGCTGGGTGTGGCAGCAGGCGCCTGTAATACCAGCTGCTCCGGAGGCTGAGGCAGAGAATTGCTTGAACCTGGGAGGCGGAGGTGGCAGTGAGCTGAGATCGAGCCACTGCACTCCAGCCTGGGCAACAGAGCGAGACTCTGTCTCAAAAAAAAAAAAAAAAAAAAAAAAAAAAAGAAGACTTTCTTTTAAGCCTCACCCATAGACGACAAACTACAAACCATAGCTGGGTGCTACACAATTCTAGAACCACTCTTTGATTAAATTCTTTAATATTTTTGCGGTAACTCCCATAAATTTTTAATATGAGAAAACAAGAACAAGGAACCCCACAGAACAAAGCTCTTCCCATCCATAAACCCGCTCCCCAAGTCAGGATTCGCCCGAGGACCCTCCCGTGGCCCCTGCACGAGAGAGCCGCAGCACTGCCAGTGCAGAGGTCCCCATAGAGGGCCGCAGGCCAGGGAACAGCACTGCGCAGGGAAAAGACAGGACGCCCGCCTGTCAGCGCAACCGCCATCATATGGCTGAAGGGGACTGAGGCCAAGCTGGACAAGGGGAACTTGGGGCGCAGATTGTGGAGCTGACTGCGGGGAGGCCTGGGTCCCGCCACAGCTGCTTCCAACCAGTTCCAACCAGCCCCTCTCCTATCTGGGGAAGTCGGACCGGCACTCTCACCATTTCTAGGCTTCCAGAGGGTTCCGGCCTCTTAGCTGTGGATCTCCCAATACCACTGGTCACAGGGACACAAAGGGTGCGCCTTTAGGAGTAGAGTACACAGAGCAGTGAAGAGGAGACCTAGAGCTCCAGCTTCAGGGGGGAGACCAAGGAACCACCACATCCGGGAAGCCGTCCTGTCCGCTTCCGCTGCCTGCTTGATTGGACAGTCCCCAGCCCGGCGTTGCTCATTGGATAACGTTTAAAACCCCACCCTCTCAGGCCCTGAGTGACAGAAGATGTGACTAGATGCTGGGCTGAATGAAGAGTGACAGTCTAAGCTGCAGTCTTTTCAGGCAGGGCTTCCTGAGGTGAGGTAGGCCCCCACCCCGCAGGGGGCATTTGCATTCAACCTTGTGTATAATGCCATATGCATTTGTAAATAATATATCATATGGCTATGCACAAATGAAAAAAATATATAACAAATGTTTTAAAATGTCAGTTTTTTTTTTTTGTTTGTTTGTTTGTTTTGAGGCGGAGTTTTGCTTTTGTTGCCCAAGCGCGATCTCGGCTCACCGCAACCTCCGCCGCCCAGGTTCAAGCAATTCTCCTGCCTCAGTCTCCTGAGTAGCTGGGATTACAGGCACGCGCCACCATGCCCAGCTAATGTTTTTTGTATTTTTAGTAGAGATTGGGTTTCACCATGTTGACCAGGGTAGTCTCGATCTCTTGACCTTGTCATCCACCCGCCTCGGCCTCCCAAAATACTGGGATTACAGGCTTGAGCCACCGCGCCCGGCAGGATGGACTATTTTAAAAGAAGTAGCATTAGTTATATTTGTGTTTGTGTGCTTTCTATTAGCCTTTTATTTTTTTTTGAGATGGAGTCTTGAGGGGGCGGTGCTCAAAAAAAAAAAAAAAAGAGATGGAGTCTTGTTCTGTTTCCTAGGCCGGACTGCAATGACATGATTTCAGCTCACTGTTACCTCCACCTCCTAGGTTCAAGTGATTCTCCTGCCTCCGCCTCCTGAGTAGCTGGGATTACAGGCATGCACCACCATGCAAGGCTAATTTTCGTAATTTTAGTAGAGATGGTTTCACTATGTTGGCCATGCTGGTCTGGCATTTCTCACCTTAGGTGATCCACCCACCTCGGCCTTCCAAAGTGCTGGTACCCCCAAATCACCAAGCCAATGGAAGAGTCAACCTGGCAACTGTCAAGCAAGCCTGCCTCCCATTTTATTTCTAAATAAGATAGCTGCAAATATAAAAAAAACTCCATAATGCTAGGTGTGGTGGCTCAAACCTGTAATCCCAGCACTTTGTGAGGCTGAGGTGGGTCGATTATTTGAGGTCTGGAGTTTGAGACCAGCCTGACCAACATGATAAAACCCTGTCTCCACTAAAAATACAAAAAAATTAGCTGGGCATGGTGGCACACGCCTGTTTTTCCAGTTACTCGGGGGACTGATGCAGGAGAGTCGCTTGATTCTTGAATGTCCTTATGGTATACTGAGGAATCACCTGGCGGAGGCTGCAGTAAGCTGAGATCATTCAACTGCACTCCAGCCTGAGCGACAGCAATACTCCCTCTCAAAAACAAAAAACAAACAAAAACCCATATACTTTCCTCACAATTTGCTTGGAAAGAAATTCCTTGTGAAGAAAAGACAGAACTCAAAGACATCCCTCTGAGGCTCACCTGAGACAAATGCAGATCTGATAGCTTTTTCTACCCTATTGGTTTTTTTTTTGGTTTTACTCCTTTCTACCCTATTGTTTATGCAAAAATGCAGATTCACTGAGCCAGACTAAATTGTGTATTCAGTGGAAGGCTAATCCAAGACTCCAAAGAATGCAGCCTTTGGCTCTTAACTACTTTTGACCTGAAGTGCCCACCTTTAGTTGTCCTACCTTACTGGATCAAACCAACACATATTGATGTTTCATGTCTTCCTAAGACGTATAAAAGCCACCTTAGGCACATGTCTTCAGGACCTCCTGGGACTGTGTCACAGGCCTATTCTTTATATTGGCAGAATAAACTTTCTGTATTAATAGAGTCCTGTCTCAAATGCCGTTTGGGTTACACACTCGAGGCCCTGCTACCTAGTGTACCCCAGACTAAAGCACCACCGTTACAGGGACTCTGGTTTTTTTTTGAGATGGAGTTTTGTTCTTGTTGCCCAGGTTGGAATGCAATGGTGTGATCTTAGCTCACCAGAACCTCTGTCTCCCAGTTTCAAGTAACCCTCTTGCCTCAGCCTCCCAAGTAATTGAGATTACAGGTATGTGCCACCATGCCTGGCCAATTTCGTATTTTTAGTAGAGACAGGGTTTCTCTATGTTGGTCATGCTGGTGTGAAACTCCCAACCTCAGGTGATATGTCCACCTCGGCTTTCCAAAGTGCTGAGATTACAGCCGTGAGTCACCACACACAGCAGGACTGTTTTTTTGTTGTTTCTAAATAAGAATTGTTTCCTTTGGGTGCCAGGTGGACAGTTGTGTACCTGAGACTTTAGCACTAAGTTCCAAACACCAGTTTTCAACCAGTCTAGACTGTGACTGTTTAAATTCTTTTTTTTTTTCTAGATGAAGTTTCATTCTTGTCACCCAGGCTGGAGGGCAATAGTGCAATCTTTGGTTACAGCCACCTCTGCCAACCGGGTTCAAGTGATTCTCCTGCCTCAGCAGCAATGAAAAGGGTTGGGCACAGTGGCTTATGCCTGTGATCCTGGCACTTCGGGAGAATGAGGCAGATGGATTACCTGAGATTGAGTGTTCAAGATCAGCCTGACCAACATGGAGAAACACTGTCTCTACTTTAAAAAATACAAAATTAGCTGGGTGTGGTGCCTGTAATCCCAGCTAACTCAGAAGGGTGAGGCAGGAGAATCCCTTGAACCTGGAAGTTGGAGGTTTCGGTGAGCAGAGATTGTGCCATTGCACTTCAACCTGGGCAACAAGAGTGAAACTTTGTCTCACCAAAAAAAAAAAAAACCTCAGCCACCTGAGTTGCTTGGATTACAGGCACGCACCACCATGCCCAGCTAATTTTTTGTATTTTTGGTAGAGACGGGGTTTCACCATGTTGACCAGGATGGTCTCGATCTCTTGACCTCGTGATTCACCCGCCTCGGCCTCCCAAAGTGCTGGGATTACAGGCTTGAGCCACCGCGCCCGGCTAGAAAAAGTTTTCATACTAGAATATATTTTTGCAGCTGCAGTAAAAGTAAAAAACAAAACAAAACAAAACAAAAAATCCATAATTAAACCTATGCAAATATCAGATTAATAGGTTTAATTAATCCATAATTAAACCTATGCAAATATCAGATAAATTATAGTATATATATATATATATATATATGTCACTGACACTTCAGATATACTAAATCAGAGTGCTAAGTATAGGGAATCTAAAACTAATGTTTTTTTTTTTTTTTTT